TATAACATTCACCAACCGTTTGTGCCTCATTGGCTAAAGGGCATGATTGTTCATTGCCATATTCAGTTTCGGGCAAATCGGAGGCCGTTTGTGGAAGTTACAGTCAAATGTAAGGTCATGGCGTCACGCCAGCATTCACCATGGCATCAAAGCCCCTCCCTTTCTGGAAAGCTATCAGATCTGAATGGTCTTTAAAACATCATGAAGACACTGTATGACCTGAGTGTCATTTTCATTAAATTAGAGGGGACAAATATGGGCATTTCACCATAAAACAATAGACTTCCTGTTGTCAGGGGGCGGGGCTTAGGTGATGTCAGCTGTCCACATTGTCGTTGTCTTGAGATGTGGTCAGTGGTCACACAGACAAAGTTTGAATTAGATCTGATCATGCACATGGGAGTTATTAAGTCAAGTAATGTCATGGCGAAAGGTCAAAGTTTGAGGCTTAGCCACGCCCACACCTTTACACTTATTTAAAATCCGACGGTTGAATTTTTTCCCCTTTGACTTAAAAGTACATAGCATAAGTTTGAAGGTGATCGGTGTAAAGGGCAACAGCCCATCAATGTCCAAACAACGTGTGCGAAAACCACTAAATCGAGTACTTGGACCAAAATGGCCGACCTCCTGTGCGAAATTGCGCTTGGCTCCAAGAGACTTTTTTGTAGGGCCAGAGACCCTACATGAGTGTACCAATTTTCGTAATCCTCAGTCAAACCTTGTCTTGGGGCTGACAGTTTTAATGGTCCTAGGGGGCGCTATTTCAGAATATAGGCCACGCCCACAAATCTCAGATGCCCATTTCTATTGGGGGTCGGACTAGGATCACTCACCAGACATTTTGTGGCGATGTCACGATAATTGAAGAAATGAGAGGCAAACGTATTGCCATGGCGTGATGGCGAATTTCGCCATGCTCCCAAAGCCCCGCCTTTTTTCAAAACCTGCCAGTACTGTAGACCAAGTGACCTCAACTTGTCAGCTGCTATTTACCAGAGATTCCAGGTGATTGGGTAAAAGAGGTCCAATAGGGAGCTGTGAAAAAAAGAGTGGCGTGGCGAAAGGTCAAAGTTTGAGGCTTAGCCACGCCCACACCTTTATACTTATTTAAAATCCGACGGTTGAATTTTTTCCTCTATGTCTTAAGAGTATATAGCAGAAGCTCGAAGGCGATTGGTGAAAAGGGCGACGGAGCATCACTCTCCAAACAACGTGTGTGAAAACCACTAAATCGCGCACTTGGACCAAAATGGCCGACTTCCTGTGCGACTTTGCACTTGGCTCCAAGAGACTTTTTTGTAGGTCCTGAGACACCACATTAGTGTACCAAATTTCGTAATCCTCAGTCAAAGCATGGCTTGGGGCTGACAGTTTTAATGGTCCTAGGGGGCGCTAATACAGAAAATAGGCCACGCCCACAAACTTAAGCTGACCTTTTCTATTGGGGGTCAGACTAGGATCACTCACAACAATGGTCGAGGTGATATCACGATAAATGAAGAAATGAGAGGCAAACGTATTTCCATGGCGTGATGGCGAATTTCGCCATGCTCCCAAAGCTCCGCCTTTTTTCAAAACCTTCCAGTACTGGAGACCAAGTGACCTCAACTTGCCTGCTGCTATTTACCAGAGATTCCTGGTGATTGGGTAAAAGGAGTCCAATAAGGAGCTGTGAAAAAAAGAGTGGCGTGGCGAAAGGTCAAAGTTTGAGGCTTAGCCACGCCCACACCTTTATACTTATTTAAAATCCGACGGTTGAATTTTTTCCTCTATGTCTTAAGACTATATAGCAGAAGTTTGAAAGTGATTGGTGAAAAGGGCGACGGAGTATCACTCTCCAAACAACGTGTGTGAAAACCACTAAATCGCGCACTTGGACCAAAATGGCCGACTTCCTGTGCGACTTTGCACTTGGCTCCAAGAGACTTTTTTGTAGGTCCTGAGACACCACATTAGTGTACCAAATTTCGTAATCCTCAGTCAAAGCATGGCTTGGGGCTGACAGTTTTAATGGTCCTAGGGGGCGCTATTTCAGAAAATAGGCCACGCCCACCAGATGTTCACATCAGATCTTTTGGGGGGCCGGACTAGGATCACTCACAAGAAGTTTCGTGACGATATCTTTGGAAATGACGAAATGGGAGGCAAACGTAAGGCCACGGCGGTACGCCTGAATTCGCCGCGCCGCCACAGCCCCGCCCTCTGCCGAAAACTCCCATAAAGTGACGCCAAGCAACCCCCACTTGTCTTGAGTTACCAGCTACAAATTTGTGGTGATTAAGTGTAATGGGGCAATTTGGGACCTTTCACAGTAAAACTTGACCTTTTTGCTCCTGAGGGGGCGGGGCTTGTGTGATGTCATCATCCGACCACTCAATTTCCTTTGTCGGCCAATGACGAATGACCACAGCACTTTTTGTAACTCTGTTACATTCAGTTATGAAGTTATAACAATTTATATTTTTTTGGCGAGTAGTCAAACTTTGAGGCCTGGCCCCGCCCCTTCAACATATACGAAAAGTCAGAATCCTTGTCTCATTTTGTTCACCCATCCCTTCTGAGCAATTTTACACAAGTTTTGAGTCGATCGTGCGAAAAATGATCGAGCAATCCAATCAGAAACGGACCCTAAAAACGGCAAAAACGGCTAAAAATCGCCATTTCAACCCAAAATGGCCGACTTCCTGTTTGATATTGACCATAACTGCAAGAGACTTTTCTGTGCGGACTGTTGAGTACTACAAGTGTCCCAAATTTCATAACTGTACAACAAACTAAGCTTTATGGAGAGGGTTTTTTTTCACTTTCTAGGGGGCGCTGTTCAGCCATTTTCTTTGCGATTTTTTTGGGACCTTTAAAATATCAAATTTTTCACCAGGCCTGACAGGTGTGCAAAATATTGTGAGTTTTGGGGTATGATAAGGTCCCCAAAAAGCCGTTCAAAGCGGGCTAAGAATAATAAATAAAAATAAACAGAGCAAAAACAAGAGGCCTTCGCAGCGCTTTCGCTGCTCGGGCCTAATAATAAACAGAGCAAAAACAAGAGGCCTTCGCAGCGCTTTGCTGCTCGGGCCTAATAATAAACAGAGCAAAAACAAGAGGCCTTCGCAGCGCTTTGCTGCTCGGGCCTAATAAACAGAGCAAAAACAAGAGGCCTTCGCAGCGCTTTCGCTGCTCGGGCCTAAAAAGAAGAAAGAACTAGAAAGAAAAGGTGATGGGGTGTGAGGTGATGATGAACAGGTGAACTCATCATCTAAAACACGGATCTAGCAGCTGTTTATTACTGACGTGCTCAAACCCAGTGAATCTGATAAGAAAAATAAAGGTCTGACCTGATGTTGGGCTAATACAGCCAGTCTGTCACTCCTCGCTCCTTGTAAAGTTTATTATCCACATAAAGCTTATCCACTGAGATGACAGCTCTCTTCCCATCTTGGATAAACTTTTTACGCAGCGGAAAGAGAACTCTGCGCCGATCCAGGATTTCCTTAGGAAACTGGTCATTAACGCTGAAGTCTTTGCCTTTGAGCTCTCTTCCGTGACTTTTAACCAGATCCTTCTGCTTAAAATGTTCAAATTTAGCCACGATGGGACGAGGTCGTCTGCTGTCCCCTCTTTTAGCTCCAAGGCGATGTACTCGGTCGAAGGTGATGTTTTTTACCGTTTCTTCGGGTATCTTCATTTGGGTCTGGAGAAAGTGTTTAACAGTGCGTTCGCAGTCCTCGGCCCCTCCCACCTCCTCCGACAGACCTGCAAACACCAAATTATCCCTCATGCTACGGGCCTGAAGGTCCAAAACCGTCTCCTTCAGAGTTTTGTTGTCCTGGGTGATCCGCGTCATTCCCTCCTCCAGGGAAGAAACGGACTCCCGCAGAGACGCGTTCTCAGCAGCGAGCCGCTCCACCTGCTCCTGGCTGAATTCCAGGGACTGGCGGAGGTTCTGAAACTCCTGGTGCAGAACCTCAAGCAGATGAAGACGCCCCTCAAATCCCAGAAGCCGTTTATCTATGGATTCTAATAATTCCAATATGTCCTTCCGGGGAGATGAGGCCTCAGGCGAGTCCTGAGGGCGGCTCCGCTTCGTCCCAGGTGTTTCAGGTTCACCTGCTGATTTCTTCGGACCCATAACAAATAACTCGAAAACTCCGTCAATAAAGTTCTGTAAACTTTCTAAATTTTCTTCACTTACCTCCAGATTGAGCGAGTTATACTTACCAGATTATTTTTTTGCGTTGTCAGTTTTAAATTAGGCAAAAATGCATCTGAATTGTTTGTGAATGTTTGCTAACGAGCTGCCATCAGCTTCAAACGCTGCTGTGTCCGGTAATCGGCCGTCAGCGCATGCGCATCTCTCTGTCAATCTCCTCCTCTTTTTTTTTTTTTTTTTTTTACAACCTGTAGGGCATGTTGTGATGTGTGGGGGAAACCGGAGTACTCGGAGGAAACCCACGCATGCATGGGGAGAACACGCAACTCCACGCAGAAAGGGGAGTTTTGAACCTGCGACCTTCGTGCTGCGAGGCAACAGTGCTAACCACTGCGCCACCATGCAGTGCATTAGAGTACACAGGATAAATATATGTGCCTTACCTGCCCAGCTGTGTGCACCAGGTCTATTTCTTCTCTAGAATAATGAAAAGTGGTGAAAAATAGGTCTAAATCATAATCAGTTTTAGTTAGATTTTTTATTAAATGACACACATTTAATCTGATGAGAGATGTGCTCTAATGTGTAAACGACCTATTAAAGTGGGCATGGACGTAATTTTTTTGGGGGGGGGACATGTCCCCCCCACTTTTTCCAAAGTCAAGTTTTGACCCCTGCGCTTTTTACCATCCAAAAACAATATTACTTTATATTAAATTGACACTGGTTGAGCTCTAGGACCAAGCAGAAAACAATCGTTTGTGTTGAAGCCTGTTTCCCATTAGAACATACTGTAAAGATACCCCCCCCCCCGTGTCCCCCCCACTTCTAAAGTGAAAATTACGTCCATGAAAGTGTGATAGCCTATTAATTAAGTAATAAGATAAACCCACCAGATAAAAAGTCAGTCTACAGTGTGACAAAATAAAACAAGATTTATTACAAGTTCACATTTGATGTTTTTCAGGTTCTTTATGAAAAAAAAAACCTGAAACTGGTTTGTTGCTAAACAGGAAAGGATGTTTATTATAGTGACAAGTTCACATTTTCTTCCAAAAAACTCCTCAAGTCTGACTGGAAACATAAAAACCTGCAGTTTCCTCACACAAGAAATAGCCAATCAGAGGCGAGAAAGGCGGGACCTTCCTTGGACATCCTAGGATTCCAAATGATGCCATCTGGAGGCCTCCCAGAGCATTTTAGAAGAAGAAAAATACATTTGTTCTTGCTACATTTGTAAATATAGAATAGAATAGACTATTGATCCCGCAGTGGGGAAAGTCACTTGTTACAGGAGCACCAATATTTAGAGAATAATTTGAAGGAAAATAATAACTAAAGTACATGTACACATAGGCAGTAAGCTAGTATTGTGATCTGCGACGCTAAAAAACCACAAATAAAAAAATGGGGTTCCAACACTATGCGGCATCCTGTAAGAGACCCAGACATGCAATGTAAATCAGTAACTGCACGAGTATTGAACTCATAATGAATACTGCGTTGGTGTTATTGTGTAACTGTCATGATCTTCCTTAATGTGTCACCTGATGTTTCTCCATCCTTCTGTGTCTCACAGCACCCTCATGTGTCCTTTGTCTGCATCTCATTTATGTGTCTTCTGTTTGTAGGCCTTCATATCATTCCCTCAGGTCCAGTGTTCATTTAGTCATCCTCAGCCCCTCCAATTGTAGCTCCAGCCTCTTGTTCCCCAGCTCAGTATATGTGTGATTGTGAGTGCATGTGTGTGTCAGTGTGTGTGAGTCCTTCCCTCAGTCTTAGGTTTAGTTTTATGTTTAGGTTTATCTGCCCTTCACTGGTTCTGTTTCCCCATTTAGATAATTTGTGTCACCTGCCTTCCCTCCAGCCCTCACTCCACACACCTGCTTCCTGTTTCCTTAATTGTTCTCCCTGTGTATTTAAGCCCTGTCTTGTCTCTGTTTGGTGTCGGTCCATTGTTTGTATTCTGTCAGTCTTGTCTTGTCTCCAGTGTTTTTGATCTCAGCCTTCTCTAGCCTCCTGTGTTTTTGGTCTCTAGTTTTTTGACTGCCTTTGGATTTATTGGCTCCCAGCCTTTTGGATTTATTTTATTTTTTGGCTCCTCCAATAAAGGATTTTTTTTTCTTATATCATATCCTTCCTCGTGTCATCTTGGGTTCCTGCATTTGGGTCCTAACCATCTAGCGTATCGTGACAGAATGGACCGACCAACCAGGACCCAGCAGACCCGGATGTACAATTTTCATGGTGACCCGGACTCCTGTAAGACTTTTCTATTGGACTTGGTGAGATTTTATGACATGGACATGTTGGACACGGACTTGATTATTAATACTGTTCTTTTCAATAGTTCAAAATGCAGCAGCCCGCCTTTTAACAGGTACAAGGAAGCATGACCATATCTTTCCAGTGCTTGCTTCCCTTCACTGGCTCCCAGTGCACTACAGGATTCAGTTTAAATTGTTGCTTTTTGTTTATAAATCACTTTATGGTCTGGCCCCTCCTTATATAGATGATTTATTGTTAACCTACAGCCAGGAATTTGCGGTCAGGCTCACAGATTTTATTGTCAGTACTAAAGCCTCGCCTTAAGACGAGAGGAGATAGGGCATTCTCTGTGGCCGGCCCTACACTTTGGAACAGCCTCTCAAAATCTGGATGTTTTTAAGTCCTTGCTTAAAACTCATTTCTTCAACCTGGCTTTTATGTAGGATGATTTTATTTTTGTCACTCTTTCTCATTTTTATTGATTTTATAATTGTGTGATGTAAAGATGTATTTATCCCAACATGCTCATTTTAATGGCTTTATGGTTTTTAGTTATACTTTCTTGCTATGTTATCTTGTGTGTTGTACAGCACTTTGGGTTGCGAAAGCAATAATAAGTGTGCTATAGAAATTAATGTGACCTTGACCTAAGCCTGTTTAGAATAGCAAAATGCTATTGTAGAAGAATTGAGTCTCCACAGAGCCACCTTGTAATTTATGACTTCTTGACTACAGTCCCAGCTGTCTCTCCACAGCCTTTAAAGTGGGATTTCTACGTAAGGGTTCCAGATGAATAAAGACACATTCTTTTTCAGCTGCAGTTATTACAACATTGTATGCTATTATTTTATATACAGATAAATCGTTTAAAGCAGACACCACTGGTATCGAACACCTCTAAAATGCAGTGGGTTATGTATTACAACCATCATGTGCCTCTTGTCTTGTCTGTTTCTTCAATACAGGAGGGTATAACATGTTTGTCTTAATCTTTAAGTAATATTTTTTTGTATTCAGAATTCATGAATGAACTTCTCAAATGTTTGGTTAAGGTCTGAGTTTAAAAAACAAAGGAGATTTGAAAAATAAAACCAAAAGAAGAGGTGGCTCGAGGGCCGAGTACGGACTTTATCAACGACAGTTGAGCAGAGGTACAAGACTAATATTAAGGTTGTAAAAAAAACTGAATAGTAATTTTGGAAGTACTGTTGTTAAATTAATCCCTCGAGCCTTTTGTGGATGCTCGTATGCCTCTTTAAATTTGTCTTTCGGCTAAATCTTTGTCCACACAGCTCACAGGCAAAAGGCTTATCACCTGTGTGGACTTTCATGTGTGTGTTTAAACTATTTTTATGGCTAAATCTTTGTCCACAGAGCTCACATGCAAAAGGCTTCTCTCCTGTGTGGATTCTCACGTGTGTGTTTAAATGTCCCTTTTCACGAAATCTATTTCCACAGAGCTCACAAGCAAAAGGCTTATCTCCTGTATGGACTCTCATGTGACAGTTTAAAATATTTTTACGGCTGAATCTTTGCCCACAAAGCTCACAAGCAAAAAGCTTCACTCCTGTGTGGACTCTCAAGTGTGTGTTTAAATGGTTTTTACGGCTAAATCTTTGCCCACAGAGCTCACAAGCAAAGGGCTTCTCTCCTGTGTGGACTCTCATGTGTGTGTTTAAATGTCCCTTTTCACAAAATCTTTTCCCACAGAGCTCACAAGCAAAAGGCTTATCTCCTGTATGGGCTATCATGTGACAGTTTAAAATATTTTTACGACTAAATCTTTGCCCACAAAGCTCACAAGCAAAGGGCTTCTCTCCTGTGTGGACTCTCATGTGTGTGTTTAAATGTCCCTTTTCACGAAATCTATTCCCACAGAGCTCACAGGCAAAAGGCTTCTCTCCTGTGTGGACTCTGATGTGTGTGTTTAAACTTGCCTTTTGGGTACATCTGTATTCACAGAGCTCACAGGCAAAAGGCTTCTTTCCTGTGTGGACTCTCATGTGTGTGTTTAAATGTACCTTTTGGGTACATCTGTATTCACAGAGCTCACAGGCAAACGGTTTATTCCTTGTGTGGACTCTCATGTGAATGTTTAAATAATTTTTAAAGCTAAATCTTTGCCCACAGAGCTCACAGGCAAAAGGCTTATCACCTGTGTACACTTGCATGTGTGTGTTTAAACTATGTTTATGGCTAAATCTTTTTCCACAGAGCTCACGGGCAAAAGGCTTCTGCCCGGTGTGGCCTTTCATATGACGGGTTAAACTGGATTTTTGGCTAAATCTTTTCCCACATTCATCACAACTAAATGATTTTGGTTCTTTCTGGACTTTTCTGCATGAGCCTCCATGTTGCTTCTCTTTCACACATTTTGTATTAACCGAACACTCTGAAGACTTTACTGCTGAATGACTTGTCACTCTCACATGTTCCTGAAGAGACCACTGGTGGAGGAACCGTATACCACACACAGGGCAGCTAAATGATTTGTCGACTGTCTTAATATCTGGCTCTGAAGACTTGTTCTCATTACAGCCATGGTCTCCATTTCCAGTTTCAGGCCCAGAGTCTGAAAGCTCAGCGTCTAGATTCACATCATCTTCATCTTCTCCACTAACTTCAATCTCTGAAGAATCGGATGTCTTTTCATTAGGGTCCAGATCTAGGTTCTTCCTAGTTTCTGCTCCTCCACCAACTATTGCTGTCATCTGCCCAGCCAAGCTGCTGGTTGGTACACCTCCGTCTTTCATTTGATGGTTGTGGAAACGTAAGAGCAGAGGTTTCTGATCCGTCTCTTCTCTCTTCCTTGAAACTGCAGTGAACCAAGCAGAAATATATAAAATAAAAATATTCAGTAAAAAGACAAGACAAAATACCTAGGCGTGTTTTTGCAATCAGTAATATACATAACCAATGTTGGTAAACACATTACTATTTATGGTAATGCATTATTTTAACAAATAACTATGACGCTATCTGCAAATTCTGATTAACGCCTCTCAGAGCCGGTCAAACCAGCCATCCGTCGCTGCTACTGTGGAGCATAGAGATACCCTAACAGCAGCATCACGTCAGGCCCTCCCTTCCTTTCCCTAAAGCCTGATTCATGCTTCTCCGTCAGCTCCACAAGGGACAGACACGCACGTATTGACGGAAGCGTTTTGCTTTCATACTTCTCCGTCTCCTGGGGAGTGTTGCAAAGCAATTCCCCACCAGGACAACAGAGGGCGTAGCGCTGTTCTGTGGTATCCTGTCATGTATCTGGTCCAAGATAGTGTGTTTATATTGTGTTTTTTTTTTGTATATGAGACTTTTTAACAAAGAAAAATTTGTCCCTCATTCTCCTCCACCTCTTCATGCGCTCACCACCTCTAAACCCCGTTTCCTGTTATTTCCGTCCTCAAATAAAATGCTTGCTGCGCATCTTTTCACTCCTCCAGTCACGGGGGAATTAAACGTTCATATTTTAGAGTTTTTTCGCGAGGTATTCTTCAAGCTTCTTTCGTGTCTGCCGCTAGTTATCCTCGGCTCTCTTTATGTTTCTGAGGGCGCAATGGCGGCGGTGTAAACAACAGCGGCGTTCTGACCAATCACAAGCTTGCATTCTCCGTCTCAATGGACGGATGTTTAAAAAAGTGGGCCAGACTCCGTGCGTACTTGCGTGCCTGCCGGGGCCCTACGCAAGGACGGATAATGGTGTTGCGTGTCTCTGCACTGACGCAGACGGAGAAGCATGACTCAGGCTTAACACTGTAGACGCGCAGTGGAAAAAATGTAAACAAACATATCTGCCGAACCTTTATTTTGTGAGACTGCTGTAAAGTTTGTATCCAACAACGAAATCACGGCGCGGAGGGGGCTCGTTAAAATGTGTCTAAACAGTAAATGTAATACGTGTTTAAGACGAAACTGTGGGTGGAAAGAGGTGAGAATGTAAGACTCGCTGCAGAAATAAAAACACAGAGCATCAACACTCGTCTGAAACCCATAAAATAATAATGAGCATCATGCTGCTAGATCAGCAGCTTGTGATAACAGTTAAGTGTAAGTCATGCTTCTCCGTCTGCAACAGTGCGGAGACACGCAACGCCATTATCCATCCGTGCGTAGGGCCCCGGCAGGCACGCAAGTACGTACGGAGTCGAGCCCACTTTTCTAAACATGACCCGCGGACCAGCTGATCAAGAGGCAGAGACATAACCCTCCCTTATTTTAATCAACAATAAAATGCAGCAAAGCATACATCTGCAGTTATTCACTGAAGAAAACGTAACTTCTATGAGTTAAATAAAAATATTAAATTGAATAAATGAATCAGGAAAGCAGGAAGAATTGTTATTTCTGTTTTTACATTTTTCATTTCGTTACATGGCGACTGCTTACAATTTTTCTTTCGGGAAAGGCAACTCTCTGTACATGCTCAACCTATTTAATCGGATCAAATGCTTGGTGCATATGTACGCTTGGCATGATTGGATCATTTCAGTTCGTGTCCATGTGAATAGAGATTGGGAAATTCCGATCAACCAAGATTTCAATCGGATTGAGGGAATTTGGCGCATGTAAACGTGGCTACTGTCTCTCTCACAGTCTTATCTTTGTTATAAACTCTGAGAGCAGAAACTCGGGGCAGTTGCCTTGAGCTTCTGCCCCTGATTGCAGTTTGGTGACTTGTCTGCTTGTTGTCTCTCCTCTCTCTCCAGCTGCAGGTATTGGGTTATTGATAAAATCCCTAACAGTCATGTAATCATTAGTTTAGAAATATAGAATTAAACTAATTTTTATAAACTATATTCTTGACTCTGTCTGGATTAATATGAAGTGTGTGTTCCTAAGGTCGTATTAAATCAAATATTCAAAGACCAATAAGATTGATCATTTATAATTAGATGGAATATCACATCTTATTGATCATTCAGTAAAAGTAACCACTTCCATCACGTTACACCATCAGCATGGCTCTACACTTCATCCTGCAGCATCTGGACTCCTGGGTACCTACACCAGGATCCTGCCAGAAGCAGAAACAGCTGGAGTTAGCAGGTCAGATCCACGGTGTGTAAAGTCCACTCATGGAGGGAACAGGAAGGGAAACCACTGAAGAACCAGGATAAACAGACCCGAGGAAACATGGACGGAGACACAGCGCTGCCCCGTGGCCAGGCGGGAATGTGGAAACGGACCTGTGGCTATTCCAAACACAGGCGCCATCTTGTTAGCGGCCAGAAGCAGAGTATGGGTGGGATGAGGCTGGCCCATACTCTGGAACAGCAGCTGCTATGTGTGGACTCTCATGTGATTTGTTTATTTACATTTGTAGTAAACCTTTCTCCACACTCATCATGACTAAATGATTTAGGTTTCTTCTGGACTTTCCTGCACGAGTCTACATGTTGCTTCACTCTAACACATTTCTTATGAACCAAACAGCCTGAAGACCTTATTGCTGGATGACTTGTCTCCCTCACGTGTCTCTGGAGAGACCACTTGTGAAGAACTTGTTGACAGACTTACCATCTGACTCAGAAGACCTGCTCTCATTCCAGTCATCATCTTCATCTCCAGTTTCAGACCCAGAGTCTGACAGCTCAGAGTCCAGATTCACATCATCATCATCATCATCATCTTCATCATCTCCACTAACTTCAGTCTCTGAAGAATCAGATGTTTGTTCATGAGGGTTCAGATCTGGGTTCCTGCTAGTTCCTGCTCCTCCACCAGTTTCTGCTGCCATCTGGTCAGCTGAGCTGCTGGTTGGAACATCTCTGTCTTCTATTTGCTGCTGATGAAGCTGTGAGACCAGAGGTTTCTCTTCATCATCCTCACTCTTTATAGAAACAGCAGTAACAGGAAACCCGACAGCTTCAGTCTCCTCCTTCAAACAGAGATGCTCTCCCTCCAGACTGGTCCAGAGCTCCTCCTGTTCCTCCTTTATGTGGAGGTGTTCTGGGTCCTGCTGGTCCACACCAGCACTCTGTTCTTCAGGAGCTTCTTCTTTAACCAGCACCAGCTGTGGAACATCTGTAGGAAACACAGACACATGATGTTACAGACCACCATACCTTTATATTTACACCATGAGTGATACTGGCTACATGATGTGGGAAAAAGGAACAAGAACATGAACTTCATTTAGATAAAAACAGATTTCTACTTTAGGAACAATAAAAACTTCCATCACAATCAGCGTGTTTGTTTCTGACCAGAACTTCTAAGCCTCCTACTCACAACCCAAGCTTTAGATCTGAAGCTTATGTGAGGAGAAACGTCTCCAAGATAAAATCAGCAACTATTCAGTCTAAAGGAAAATGAATAAACACTTAGATGTAGCTGCTGTCAGTAACAATCTTTCACTTTTAAGCTCTCAGCAGGCTAGAGCACTACAAAGCAAAGGAATCTTACTAATTAGCATTTTGGAAGATTTAGTGTTGTTGTTATTATGTAGTTTTTATTATATTATATATGGCTAATATATATATATATATATATATATATATATATATATATATATATATATATATATATATATATATATATATATATATATATATACACACAGTGGTGTGAAAAACTATTTGCCCCCTTCCTGATTTCTTATTCTTTTGCATGTTTGTCACACAAAATGTTTCTGATCAAACACATTTAACCATTAGTCAAAGATAACACAAGTAAACACAAAATGCAGTTTTAAAATTATGGTTTTTATTATTTAGGGAGAAAAAAAATCCAAACCTGCATTGCCCTGTGTGAAAAAGTGATTGCCCCCTGAACCTAATAACTGGTTGGGCCTCCCTTAGCAGCAATAACTGCAATCAAGCGTTTGCAATAACTTGCTACGAGTCTTTTACAGCGCTCTGGAGGAATTTTGGCCCACTCATCTTTGCAGAATTGTTGTAATTCAGCTTTATTTGAGGGTTTTCTAGCATGAACTGCCTTTTTAAGGTCAGGCCATAGCATCTCAATAGGATTCAGGTCAGGACTTTGACTAGGCCACTCCAAAGTCTTCATTTTGTTGTTCTTCAGCCATTCAGAGGTGGATTTGCTGGTTTGTTTTGGGTCATTGTCCTGCTGCAGCACCCAAGATCGCTTCAGCTTTGGTTGACGAACCGACGGCCAGACGTTCTCCTTCAGGATGTTTTGGTAGACAGTAGAATTCATGGTTCCATCTATCACAGCAAGCCTTCCAGTTCCTGAAGCAGCAAAACAACCCCAGACCATCACACTGCCACCACCATATTTTACTGCTGGTATGATGTTCTTTGTCTGAAATGCTGTGTTACTTCTACGCCAGATCTACATTTGCCTTCCAGAAAGTTCAACTTTTGTCTCATGCACAAACAGGAAGTGATTGGTAGTCATTCCACTCCAATCCAGATGGTGGCAGTAATGCACCAAATTGTTGTTTGCCAAGTGCCATAAGACCACAAATAAGAAGAAGAGAAAGCAGGAAAAAGAAGAAGAGAGGAGGGAGCGTTCGTAACAAACTCGAAGTGGTAGTCAAAACATTAAGCATGAAATGGAGTTATCCTAGTGGCTCCAATGAGAGAAAGAAGCAGCTTGCTTGAAAAAAGCTTTTATCTTCACTTCTGAAAGTGACGTTTTTCTATGTGAACATCAAAAGGAAGCAGAAAAGGAAAGACATTGGAAAATGTTTAAAGGGAGGAAAACAGACCAAAATGGAAAATAGAAAAAAAAAAGAAAAGAAAAAAGGATAAAGCACAGGAACACTGACAGGAAGAAGAAAGCAGAGCAAACATTGAAGGTGCTCAAAGGGAGAGAAAGACAGGAAAAAGGGGAGAACTAACAAAAAGTGAAAATAACTCATGTCAGAAGAGGGGAGAGTTTCACAAATCCAGTTAAAGATAAGATTGTTGAAAATTTACTGTAAGGGGGCCCCATGTCTGTGTTCGCCTTGGGCCCCAAATTGCTAAATCCGCCACTGTCAGCATTCATTCTGGAAAGGTTTACTTATTTTATGCTTCTTTGTGATAAATGTCCTCATGTCCCCATGTCTGTGGAGGGATCAGACATGGACACTGCTTATTATGGGATAGTAATGGCACTGACTCCTCCTCCAGCTTCGACAAGCCTGTAGTTTCACTTTGGTTCATTCGGTCTTTTATTTTCTAACTTTGTTGACAACCATGTTGGTCACGTCCAGCATGCGTGCAGCAGAGCAACCAGGAAAACGAGGAACGGACTTCAGCAGACGGAGTCATTTCTAATGAATCAAGTGGAATGGATTTCTTTGAGAACAATTGACAGAGCAAGAAGTGTGTGTGTGTGTGTGTGTGTGGGGGGGGGGGGGGGGGGGGGGGCATTCCCTTCTGATATAATGGTTGTGACATCTATGAACCACCTCCACTCAATCAGCCAATTCAGTAGTTTGCTCGTAGTTTAACTCTTGATCCAAACGTTGGACCGTTTCTGCCTCTAACAATGGTTTCTGTCGTTGCTGGTTTCTCTTTTTTTCTGCCACAGCACAGAGATCACCACATAGATCTCCAGTAAAATGTGTTCAGACTGTGGAGCGCACGTTTAACGAAGCTTCGAATCAGTAAAAAAAAAAATGAATCGAGGAACTTTTTTTTTCTCCGTGTCCTGTCTGGCTGTGAAGCAAACAGAATTGATGTCTGAATGCTGGTAACAAGCCTTACAGATTTACTCTCAGGTGGAGCATCAAAGCGTCTG